GGTGCAGGGAGAAATGGTCCTATTAAAAGCCCTCCACGAAGGAGTCTGTTTGGGGTGAGAAGTATCAGCAACGCTGCTTCTAGCAAATGCATACTCCCTCCCGAAAAAGTTTTGCACATTTATTTGAATTGGCATTTTATATCTTTGGGGAATAGTGCTATTTCCCTAGTACAGTGGGAACATTACCTAATAAATGGAATTGAGAACAGAAATTGGAGCTGAAGGGATTTCCATCCACGAGCGGATTTAGGTACAAGACTCCCCACCCCCCCCCCACACACACACACCCCAGCCAGTGATTCCCTGGGTAGGGGGAAAGCCACACAGCCCCCAAGACAAACACCACAGGCTCCGGGACCCCCAACCCATCACCAATGTCTTAAGCGCCCGATGGAATTTTCAGAAAGTCAAACCCTCAGACTAAAGGGGTAAAACACACCCATTCAAAACTAACAATTTTAATTGTTTCAAAAACAAATGCCCTCATCTGCCAAGCGAGGGCTTATAAATCAATGCCCATCACTTGAAAATAGATTTCTCAAACTTATATTCTCATTTTGTCCTGCTCGAATCTCTGCAGGAAAATCAATATTACAACTTCACACTTAAGACATTTTGCAGCAACGTCAGCGGCAGCAGCGGCGGGTGCAGGCGGTGCTCGCGCGGCGGAACCGGGCGCCCATGCCACGGGCAGCGAGCTCCCCCTAGCTGCCTAGCGGCGCCAGGCCAGGCTGGCGGTGCAGGCGACCAGCCTCCCAAAGCCAATTCAACTCAAAGTTTATTTTGGAAAGTATTTTATCACAACAAGCAAGAGAGAATGCAAAGCGATGGAGCAGGGAGATGAAAAATGAAAAAGGGAATGCTGGTGCAAGCCGTGTGCTAAATGGAAGGACAGTGCCAAGAGCTCGGCTCCCAGAAGGCGGCAGGGAGGGCTGTGCTGCGCAGGGAAAAAATGCTCCTGAAAACCCACCGGCTTGCATGCTTCCACCTCACCTGAGACATCATCCCCATCCCTGCGCCCCAATGCCAGGCCCGCCTGCCCTCCGGTCAGCAAGCCCCAGCGGGCCGGTGGCTGGTGAGAGGCAAAGCATCACACCCAAGCCTCTGATCCCGGCCTCCCTCCAACATTAGGCCGGTTTCACCAAAGCAACTGCCTTCACTCGGGCACTTGAGAAATGACTCGTCCTCTGTTATGAAATATTCTGAAGACCAGGCAAAAAAATCACCAAGGCCGCTGCATGGGCAGAGAGCGGCCTCCACCCTCAGAACAGAAATATGCACATGTACATAATAATGCTCGAGAAGGGACTGAATACCCTTTAAAAAATATTAGGGGTTGTTAAAATATGCTCCCGGCTGTTTTTCTCTCAGGTGTGAATTACAAATGAATAAAATCAGCCTGGCATAACACCTTTGATGAACACATTTTTATTCTCCTGTGGAATCAGAGCAGCTGACTTATATCACACTTCTAATGGTATGGGGTTCCCTTCTGTGCAAAGGGAGACAAACTTCACCACCCCCACCAACCACCAAAAAAAGCAAAAAAAAAAAAAAAAAGGAGGAGAAGGAGGGAGGGTGGGGTGGGGGCCCACATCTTAGGAAATTTATCTTTCCAATTTGGAAAGAGATGTGAACAACTGGAGGTAAACTATACCCCGGAGAGTGACGATAATTGTGAGCACAGCCGCCTTGAAAACACACAGCAGCAGCAAGACCTAATGGCAGGGCGAGCCTGGGATGAACACGCTCTCACTTCCGAGTCCAATCTCGGGTCCCTGGTTGTTTTGCAAAATCAGAAATCATACGGATGATCGCCGATCTTCCAAGGAAACCTGTTGATGTGTTGCTGAAAAAACCACCTTCGCTGGGGCCGTGTCTCTGGCCACGGACATCTTATTTGCTTCCGGAAGTCTCAGACTCCTCCTTGGACTGGCGATCCTGTCCCTCTATTCTGAGCTAGCCTGCTCCCCCGGGCTCCTGGCCCTTGCTTCTGCCTGGCCAGTCCCCTCTTCAGTACTGTCACTGTGTTGTTTTGTGTTTTATTAATCGCTCTGTCTGTCCTCTGGTTTGAAAAGCCATATCCATCTGGGTCAAACATTTTGAGACAAACCAGAAGCCTAGGTTTTCATCCCCAGCTGCCTCCCACATCTTCTGCACCTCCTCAGTCCCCTTCGGGCTGGCCCTGCCTGTAAATTTAACTAGCTTATTATGGCGCCCTTTCTCCACTGCCCCCCAAGATTCTCCACGCTATTTGTGTGCTCTTCGTGGTCCCCAGACCATCAGTTATCCTAAGTTGCATCATCCTGACAGAACCTGAGGCTGCTCCCCAGGCCGGCCGGCTGCCACCCAGCTGAAGATGCGCCGGCATGAGGTGATTTCTCTCACATTTAAAATCTAAAATGTGGGCCTGGGGGGGGCAGCTGTGACAGCACCCAGCCGGCTCACCAGGGCTCCCGAGCACCCTGCACCCACGACCCCAGTGTCATTGTGGAAGGCACCGCCACAGGCCACGCAGCCTAAACTGCATCCAATTCTTGCCTTCCCTGCCTGCACTCCACCTCCTGGGTGACACAGGACAGACAGCAACGCCAGCTGCTTTTTGATAATAAATCGCCTTGTCTGAAAACTGGTCAGACCGCTCTCCCCGCTCAGAGCCAAGGACGTGCCCTGGGCTGCTGGGCCCTGGAGGGCAGGCGGGATAGCCTCTGCCCCCTGGTCTCCTCGGCGCCTCTCCCCGGCTCTCTCCTCCTCTACCTCTCTCTCTCCGCTCCGGCCGCTGCTCAGCGTCATCCAGCTTCCCCAGCCCTGATCGAGACCGACAGAGAGATGAACAAATGAAGGATGCAAGGACACACGGCACCAGGCACCCCTGGCCCCCCACGCCCAGCTGCCACCAGAGCTTCCGGCCAGGGCTGTGTCCTGCTGTCCCAGGAATGCCAGAAGAGAAGCGAGCAAAATAAATGCAAACCTACCTGCCTCTTCCCCCTTACACACAACTGCAAACACTCCTGCCTCCTTTTGCTGCTGCCAGCTTGGCAATGCACCCCGACAACTCCCCCTTCTCCCCATCCCCCCAACTTCCCCCTCCTCAAAAACAACCCTTGCAAAATTTTACACAGGCTCTGCGGGGCAAATTGTCTCCTGGAGAATGAGATGTGCGCCAACACAGACGGTGGAACAGCCACTCCACCATCCAAGGGGGGGGGGGGCTCCGACAGCAGGATCAGCGGCCTCTGCAGTTAGCAAAGGGCGAAATGTCAAGGGCTGAAAAGGACCTTGATGAAACCAGGCTCAAATCTGGCCGCTCCACATTTTGTTTTAAATGCAACCAGTGAGTCTTCTCTGATGTTACCGTGGTGGGGGGCGGGTGGGGGGAGACAAAAAGGAGAAGTCTTCTTACCTCCCTCCAAAAAAGACATTCCTCTCCCAAGGCGAACCCCACTTTAATATCTACTTCCCTGCCCCCCCCCAAAATAATAATAAATCCACAAATTCTTACTAATGTCTCTGCTGTAACAAAGGAGAGGTGGCAGCAGCAAAGGCTCCGAGCAGATGGCTCCTGAGCTCGGTTTTCAGGGGAGGGGAGAGCCCCTTTATATATTTATTTATTTATTTAAATTTTTTAAAATATAACATAAATATGCGGCTCTCGGCCGCCGCGTAGCCAGTCCCCGGCCGCCGCGGGCGCGCAGCCCGCTCCAGCTCCGGCTCCAGCTCCGCGCGGGCGGTGCGGCCGCGGCCGGCCGAGGCGCTCGGAGACCCGCGGAGACGCGACCTGCCCGCGGTCTCGGCGGCACCCGGAGGATGTTTTATTTCGACTGCAATTAAAAAAAAAAAAAAAAAAGGCAGCGGCGGCCCGGGCACGGCGAGGCGGAGGCCGGCGGCGGCGGGCAGAGGCGAGAGGCTCGCGCGCGGCGAAGCGGCGGCCCCGGCCGGGGAGGCGCCTTCCGCGCGGCCGAGGGGCGCCGGGCGAGGTCCCCGCGAGCCCCGCACCTGGCCGGCCCGCGCCCCGCGGCCCGCGCGGAGCCCCCCGGGCGCTGGGGCCGCCGCGCCCCGGAGCCCCGCGCGCCTCCGCCCGCCCCGCCGCCCGCGGGGAGCCCGCGCGGCGCAGCCCGGAGCCCCGGAGCTCGGCGGCCGGGCCGGGAGGACGCGGAGGCCGGGCCGGGCAGCCGGCGCGGGGCGCGCAGGCAGGTCTCGCCCGGCGCTTTCCTCGCCTTTTTCAAAAAACTCTCTTGCCGCGCGCCCCTCGCCGCGCGCCCGGCTGACAGCCCCTGCTCCCGCGCGGGGACCTGGCTCCAGCCCCGACCCCCGCCGCCCCCGTCCTCGGAGCGGGGGAGACGGCGCGACCCTCCCCGGGGACGGGCGGGGCGCGGAGGGGGCTGCCCCGGGTGCCCGGCCGGCGGGGAGAGCCGGGGGAGAGCGCGGCGGCCCGAGGCCGGGGCCGGCGTGGCGCGCGCCCTGCCCGGCCGGGCGCGGCGAGCGGGACCCGGCGGGGCCGCCGCCCCTCGCCGCGGGCCTCCCCCGGCCCCGCGCGCGCCCCGCTCGCCTCCGCCCGCGCCGTCAGCGCGGACCCACGCGCTCGCCAACTTTTCCCCACTTCCCGCTCCCCTCCCCCTCCGCTCCCCCGGCCCCCTCCCCCGCCCCTCCAAACCCCGCCACCAGCGCCGCCGCCGCCACACACGCCGCTCGGAGGGGCGAGCGTCCGGCGGCTCCGCGCGCTCACACGCCGCCGCCCGCGCGCCCCTCCCGGCCGGGGCCCGCGCCGCCGGCCCCCGACCCCGGGCGCGCCCGCCGGCCGAGCGCGCGGACCGCCCTGCCCGGCCCGGGCGCGGGGAAACTTTCCCGGCGCGCCCGCCCCCCGCCCGCCGCCCGCCGCCCGCCGCCCGCCGGTGCCAGGCCGCGGGCCGCCCCGGCGCCCGGCCCCGCTGCGCCCGGCTCGGCGCCCCGGCCCCGGCCCCGGAGCCCGTCCTCGGCCCGCGCGCGCCGCGGACACTTACGGGTGATGAGCTCCCTCTGGGACAAGTGCTGCGGGTTGCCCTGTTTGCGGCGGGACATTGCCCCGGCATCTATTCTGGCATCGCCCGGAGAGCTGCTCGGATGGGGGGCGCCGGGGGAGGGGGTGCAGCCGCCGCCGCGCCGCTGCCGCGCCTGCTGCTCTGCCCCGGCTGGCGCGGAGCTGGGTGTTTTTTTTCCCCCTTCCTCTCTTGCCCGCTCTTCCTCCTCCTCTTCTTCTTTATTTTGGTGTTTCTTCTAGGCTGCTTTTTGTTTTGTTTGCAAAAAGAAAAGCAAGAGAAAGAGAAAAGCCTCTCGAGCTAAAATCGGAGAAAGAGGCAAAAAAAATCTGCTGCTGCTGCTGCTGCTGGCCGCCGACTGGCTGGTTTCTTTAAAAATATATTCTTTTGAAGGAAAAAAAGCGCTTGCACTTCTTCGGGCTGCTCGGCCTCCTGGACTTCCCAATGTCTTCTTGAACTTACACTGGATTTTGCACCGGCTCCTGACACTTTCTTTCGGGGTCTGGTAAGGTGGAGCGCGCACTTCGATCAGGAGAGGGGGGTGGGCAGGAAAAAATGCAAACAAATAAAAAAAGAAAAAGGAAAAAAAAAGCAAAGAAAACTTGGGGACTAGTCTCGTACCCCCTTCACCCCGCCCCCTCAAAAAACCCAAAGCAATGGAAAACTGCCCCGGTTCGGTTGTTTCTGGGTTTTCTGCGGGCTGCCTGCTTTTTCCTCGGAGACTGACCCTGCCGAGGCTCTGGGGGGACTCCAGGAGCGGCTGCTTCCCAGTTCACCTGGCAGGCTGGCGCCGGCCGCAGGGCAGCCGGGTCCCCGCGAGCGCTCCCCAGCGCTCCCCTGGCGCCGCGGGCCCGGGGGGAGCTGGGCCGAGGGGCGGCTCGCCCAGTGCGCCTGGGTCGGTGCGGACGCGGACGGGAGCTATAGATTGCAACGTGAAGATGGCGGAGTCCGGGTTCTCTGGGAGCTCTCGGTCTCTCTATGGCTGGGGCTGCCTCTGTACAATGGGATAAAATTCAAGTTCAAGTGCGGACGTGACGTTTAATCTGCACTAGAGACAAAAAGACCCAGAGAGTCGGAGCACTGGGGGCGACTAGCGGTGGCTTTTTAACATTGTACCCTGGAAGAGAACAAGAAAGCACACACAGAGAGACACCCTCGCGCGCGCGCGCGCACACACTCACTCACACACACACACACACACACACACTCGCCCGTGCGCACACCCGCAGTCCGGCCGGACACACGTGCAAGCAGCGTTTTTGTGCGCTCCGGTTCCCAAGCGCTGGCCGCGCCGGGGAGGGGAGGTGGGGGGAGAGGAGGTGGGCAGGGTATTTTTAAATAAAAGAAAATGCTCTCCATCCCTCCTCCCCTCCTGGGAGCAGGACCCCTGGAGAGGTGGGGGAGGGAAGTAAGTTGAACCAGGCAAGTCCCCACCCACCCACTGGAGAGCTCTGGGGGTGTGGGGGGCGCGCAGGGGCCTGTGGAAAGGGGTTGGGGTCCGCGTGGGTCTAGGCAAAGGCCAATTAATTCAGCTCCCTGGAAAAGTAGCCTGGTTGCTTTTATTTTTGTTTTATGGGGGCCAGGAGGGATTGGAGTTAAACTTCCAAAAAGTGTCTCCATGTAAATCCTGATATTACAAACTCCGGGAAAGCCAAGCAGAAAACATTTGACATACTAAGAGAAGTGAGAATTAGCAACAGTTCGGGTGGAAGGGGAACGGGAGACCTTGTTTGAGTCCCATCCCGGTGCACCCCAATCTGTGGCTCCTTCCAGCTCGCCCCCCCTGAGCGCCTCAGGATCAGACACGGCCCACCCCCTTACTCCAGGGCCCCCCGGAGGCTGAGGGTAGGGACCAGGCCAGCGCCACGTGGGAGAGGCTCCCTGACCAGCGGTCGGCGTGGTCAGCTCTCTGGAGACACACGTGTGGGTGACCCTGTCAGGTCCCCCAGTTCCTGCCCTCCCCCGGCAATGACTGCACCCTGGAAGTAGCGCCTGCCACCCCCACACCCCTCAGGGCTCCTCCGCCCTGGGCAGGACTTGAAACGGCTCGTCAGACAGGGAAGGACACAGCTGCCTTGTCAGCGGGCGAGGACGGAGGAGTTGTGGGGACCTGTCCGTGGCCCCGGGACAAGGCCAGGCCGAGGTTCGCGTGGACAGCCCCCCACTTCCCTTGCCTTCGCCAAACTGGCCTGTTTTTGATGACCTGGTCCCCGGGATGGGCGCGCCACGCCACGGACCCTCTTCCTTCTCGAGGTTTCTCTGGTCTGGGTCGGAGGCGGCCAGGGCGGGTCGGGGCCTGGCTGCGGGCCGGGCTTCGCCGCTGCGCCCGGCTGCGCCCAACCCACCCCGCCCCCAGGCCCGGCTCTGGCGGCTGCGCCCAGCAGTGGCTGAGCCGAGCCGCCTCCGGGCGCGCCGCCTCCCTAGGAGCCTTTTCCTTGGGGGGCACACGGGGCTTTTGTTCGCCCCCAAGGTCTTGGGTGGGGCGATGGCACCAACAACTTAACAGTGCTCTGCGCCCAGGAGCTAGCAGAGAAAGAGCTCCGGGCCCACCTGACCCCCCCCCCAAATAACAATAAAATGCGCCCCAGCATGCCGTCTTGCGGACTGTGGGCTGCAGGGTCGGTCTCGCCGGGGGAGACCCAGGAGGGCGGGGGGCGGGAGTTGGCACCTTCCCGTCCCCACCGGACGGCGCGCAACTGCCCACTCCCCGCCTACACCCCACCTCCACGTGGTCCAAAGTCTGGAAGCGCCGCCTCCCTCTCTCCAGCCTTCCCGCCCCACCGCGAAAATCCTTCCAGGAAAGTGGTCTAAATTAAAAAAAAAAAAAAACCCACACGCACCTTTAATAAACTTAAGAAAACCAAAAACACGTCGTTCTAACTGGCCGGGCCTCTGAGGTTGGCAGGACAGCGCGCCCTCTTCCGAGCGCTGTGCCAGGAGAAGCCCAGAGAGGGTCAGCGTCTCGCCCAAGGTCACACAGCGCGCGGGCGGGTCTGCGCTCGCATCGCCACCGGCGCCCGCCGCCCGGCGCCGCCTGCGCTCTGGCCCCCAAATCCCGACGCTGGACCCTCCCGGGATTGGCGGCCACGATGGGGGTCAAGGCCTGCCGCGGGGCGGGGCGGGGGGACTGAGCCGCCCCCTTCCAGAAAGGCGGCCCCCTCGGAGCGCTCCGCACACCGGGGCCCCAGCTGCAGCTGCCAAGCCGCGAGCGCAGGGCGGCGGGGTCTGAAAGGGGCACCCCGCCACCCCGCCCCACCCCGGCAGGAAGTCGCGGGCAGCGGGCGGGGGGCCGCCGCTGACCCGGGGCGCACTTCCTCATTGGCCCCGCGCTGCCCCGACGGCGGGAAGAGGGGCGCGCGGGCGCGCGGGCGCAGGGCCGGACACGCCGCCGCCCGCCGGCGCGCTCCACCTCGCGGCGGCCGGGGAGAGGCCGCCCTGCCCTGCCCAGCCCTGCGCTGGCCCCTGCGCCCTCCTGCTCCTCCTCCTCCACCTCCCGCCGGGCGCAGGCCGCGAGCGATCCCAGCTGCCGCTCCAGTCTCCTCTTTTTCCCTCTGCCCGTCTGGCACGGGCATCATTAGCGCTGAAAGCTGTTAATGTCTGGTCTCACAGCTCCCCCTTTAGTCTTGCTGCGCTCCCTGTCTCGCGTTCCAAGCCGGATCAATAGCTGCCTCTCCGCGGCCTTGACCTCGCCCTGGACCGGTCGGGTGGGGCGGCGGGCCCACGCTGGTCTCCACTCTCTCCAGGCCCAGACAACGGGCTGCGGTGGGTGGGGGGGCCGAGTTTGGGTCATGGCCCTGTCCCCATCCCTTCCTCAGGACCCCTGAATGACATGGTACCCAGTACCCTAATGAGGTCACTGCACACGCCCCCCTCCATGGGCTTGATCCGCCAAGCCTTTGCTCAGAATTGAAGTGACTCTAGTCCCCCAAAGATGGGAGGTGCTCCCCAAAAAGGTGTATAGGGTTGATGCTTAACATGCTAAACTCTAAAAGGGACAATGATGGTGCTGAAACCTTGGTTGGGTGCTTTAGACTCCTGTCACCAGCACTCGCTGCAGACCTACTGTGTGCTGCATCCAGGACTGGAGCTTTATGCAGCTGGAATCAGATGGAACAAATGCCACATTTCTGCACATCCTTCAGGGGGAAAAAGCAGATGTCAAAAGGTTTTTTTGAACTTACAAATATTTCTCTGTTCCTCTTTGTCTAGCTTCCCAGACCTCCCCAGCAGATCCCCATCTTCTGGCTGTAAATTTCTTTATAGAGGAATAGTTCGGAAAGTATATCAGCTCATCAAATCAGAGGCATTTGCACTAACCTTGTGTGGGGCTCTGATTCCCTGTGTGCTGCATGAGACACACTCAGGGGAGCAGGAGGAGGGCTGACTAAACAGACACATGACCCTCTCCCCCTCTTTAAGATACCTTGCACCTCTCTCAGTGCTTGGCTCTTAGCAGATGGGGCGCTCTATTTGAGATTCTGCAATGTTATCTTTGCCCTCTGAACTGTTATATTTTATATCTTTGCAAAAATCTGGAAAGAATGGAGATAAGTAGAGTGAGTAGAAATGGCAACGCCCATTGTTTCTGCAGAAAGAAAATCATTTCATTTGTAGGTGTTGCTTTAACATGGATCCAAAATGTAGTCAAATAACTTTGCGGCAAAGTTATTTGCTACAAAACTCAACAACACCTCTTATCAGACTACTTGGGCTTCATTTCTGGTGCCTACAGGAAAAAAAAAATCTGTGCGAAGAGAAAGTGAATCTTTTCATATTCACAGGCGAAGGGCAAATTCCAAGGCAATTTGTGTGTGCTAATTTCTAGTCCTCAGGATCTGTAAAAGCTGTTGACTGAAGATGAGGATAAATAAAATGCACCAATCTGACCTGTGGATGAGCTTAGCTTTCAAGTAAACCCAAGGAAGTTCTACACAATTGCATGCATGCACATATTAATAAGGCTCCCACCTCCTTCCACACAGATCTAGAATCTCTAGTCAAATCCAGAAGCATAAGAGACAAATAAGGCCTTTTGGGCTTACTGACATGTCCTCCAGAATTATTGTATATCATT